GTGAGGATTAAGGTGTAGAGATGATGGATGGATGATGCCATTAAAGCTATAAAGCCGTACATACATGGTTTCTTGTATGCAGGAAGACAACCTGAATCTGGCAGATTTGATCACTAACAATGAACTACGACATAGTGAGATGATTAGAAACTGAGGCCTCCTGCAGTCCAACTTTCATATTTCCAATGTTTTTGCTAAATGACATGAAGCATATGTTTTTGACTGAAGAAACAGAAGGCAGCAGATGTCTGAGGATGTGCACAGCATCACGAGCATGAATTCGCAGATAGAAGACACATCACCTCACAAATACTGAGCAAACATAGTGTTTGCTTCCTGTGTGTTCACTCTGTGGACATAATGAATGAGCAATCAAACATCTTAAGAGACACTTGAGATTTAATCAAGGTACTTATTTTGAGGAGTTTCAGTTTCCATGGACAACAGTTTTAGTGACACACAGTGTGCAAGTGAAAGCCGAGGAACAAAGATCGATGCTGCTTTGGAGGAGAAAAAAAAACAAAAGAAGTAAAAAGCAGTGCTTGGTTTAGTTTGGCTTGTGGCTGGCAGAGGCTGTTCAAAGAACCGGTGAAGTGCGCACATTAAATCAAACCTTTACTCCAAAAAGAAAGCAACAGTGTGAATTTCTCACTGGTGTGAGTCACACCGGAGAGGCGATGCAGATACAGTAGACAGCACAGACAGGAAGCATAAACTGTACAGTACGAGGCCTCCAGGTCAGTTCATTATTTCTTCTTTTGTTTCCATCGAGGACCCCTCTTTGTGAGTATTGACAGTATTTTATTCAACAACATTAGATAACTTACACTGTTATAAAACAGTCCGCTGGGGCTCAGGTAGTCACACGAGAAATTCAAGTCCCAAAATATCATAGCGTTGCCTTGTCTTTGGGCAGTGTATCCTTTCCAGTGGTTAAAGTCCATTCAGTGACTCAACAGTAAGACTAAGCGTCATTGTCCTCAAAACAATATCAAGTCCACATTTGGCTTCTTTGTCATCCTCTCAAGCAGTCATACGGTTCCATGTTAAAGTATTTACCAACAGCGCCCTCGGGGGAGTCTTATTTCCCGCCCGTTTGGAGGTCAGCCGCTGCCTCTGATGCTCGGTGGATACTTTGGCCTTCAGCAATGGTACAGTGCTCTGACAAGAATCTTCGAGGTCAAACGTCTGGATCCATGAGCGTTCAGGAATGCATCCAAGATTTGGTCAATCGCCCCGTTGGTCAAATTACCCAATAAGTGAGAACACATTAAACAATCCAAGTTCTTGGAGTCTCTAAGGACTGTTTCAACATTTCGGGAAATATGCTTATTCACTTTCTTGGCAAGAGTTGGATGAGTTCACTATCCCAAGTAAGCCAGCAGCTGGTTAGCTTAGCATGGATATTGCCAAAGCTAACCACATCCACCTACAGTATGAGGCACCTTAAATTCATTGATTAAAACAAGTTGTGTATTTACAGTGAAATTGTCATGTAACATAAACCCCATAAAACCACAACTTGTATTTGCTTGGATTAAGTGTTTTAATTGGTTGGTCTCATCCNTGCTAACCACCTTGCAGCCCAGTAAGGTGTATAAATACATTTAATATCCTTTTCCTGCATTGCAAACCCCTCTGTCGATCCAGGGACAGGATGGATCCTGTAATGCTGCAGCTGCTGTTCAGTAAAGTCAAAGAATCAAAGCTGTCTGAAGGCAGATTTCAAGAGCTGCATGGAAGTTAGTAACGCTGACAGAGCGGTGACCCAATGGATCCCCTGACTATTTTCTGTACCCTGCAAGAGGGAGGACTCACAGTACAGACAGGTGACAAGTGAAATGGAAAACCAACAGAAATCATGTTGAGGTGATGGATCATCATGTCCTGCCAGAAGAGCTTCGGTGTTCCTCTGCTTTGATCCTTCAAGTCTCTGGAACTCTTCTGGAGGATCATGCTTCCAGAAGATGTTCCATAATCTAGTGCTTCGATCATGAAGACAAATTTTAAACCGTAGCATTTTAAATTTTACATGATAATATAACTGGAGAACAGCTTTAGCATTCACTCTGGTTTGTTTAGTTTGACAATAAATAATGATTCAGCTCCTTTGCTTCATCATGGTGTTGTTTCTGGGAACTCAAACGTGTTTTCGTCAAAGAAATTCTGAGGCTATAAACTTTTTTTTATGGTAATGCTACTCCACGTGGACGTGGATGTGTCTGGCTTAATAAAGTTGAGAAAAACTTAATTTCATGCTCCTATGGCACGGTGTAGATTGGATAGATCTGAGACTGGATGTGTCAGCAGCTCCGGGTATTTGTGCCTCTTTCTCCATGCTCTGTTCTCCAGCTCACTGCATTCACAAATCGGTGTGATAACAATGAGACGCAGCTCACTGGGACAGCATGCCAATTCTAGCTCTGGATGGAGTGAAGCTGTGACCTCAGGTAGCATCTGCACTAAATAATTCAAAGGAGCAGATCTTCATGTGATAAAATTAACCTTCCCCATCAGGATCTGGAGCTATTTCCATCCGACAGTGATGGATGTTGAGTCACACACCTCTCAGGTGACAGATGACATGAAAGAAAAGGAATTAGATAACCAGGTAGATTTTATTTGTAAGAAGCAGCTTCTGGACAAACATGAGGCGGGTTTATTGCACAGGAGGAAACACCTGCAGACCTGGTGATGAATCCTGATATTTAGTGAATGTGGAACATGTGAGGGTTTGTTTTCACTGACTACAGACGGCTTTCAGTCTCCTTGATGCACCTGTGGTCCCTGTGCTGTACTAAAGAACAATGAAGAACCTTCCAGACATGCACTCCTATCCTCAAACTGATGACAATGAACATGTTGTCTGAAAGAGAACCCTGCCAGCCCAACATTCAGGCATCATTGTCAACGTGGCACAACTGTGAACAGCATCCACTCACACTAATAGGCAGCTGATTTGGGGGAAGGCTTTTTCCAGTGTTGAGTTTGTTGCCTCCAGTTGTTTGTAGGAGTTTATTGATTACCTTCAGCAGCAGGATCCACGTGAGCATCTCCAAACATCCCTGACATGGAGACAGGATTGATCAAGCTCTAATGGCAGCTCACACTGTGTACCTTACTTCATCTCTTTGGAAGGACCTACCTGAGGAAATAAGATTTGCTGATGCAGTATCTTTTTGTAAATCACTTCTTAAAACCCACTTATACAGACTCGCTTTTGAGTAATATTCTCTTTTATATTTTCGCTCGTGTCTTTTTCCTTTTATATTGGTACTAGCTGCTGTCCTTCTCTCTTTTCTCTTTCTTAATCTACTTTTAGCTTCATCTTTTATCCTAACTCCACTCTCTGATGTCGTCTTTTTAATCAGTTTTACTAGTTTTATTATAATACACCTTCCAGCCTGTTCTTTTTCATTTTTGTGTGTATTTTTATATTTTGAGTGTTTTCCTGTGTTGCCTCGTCTCGCTGTGTGTTGTGTTTCTTTATTATGTAAAAGAATTCTGTTCTTAAAGGTGCTACACAAATAAAGTTTATTATCTCAGACAGTTGAGCTGTCCCACAGTGTCACAGTTTTTGAGATACAGGTAAATTATTTGTCATCCTCAGGTTCCTGAGCTCCATCACAGCTGATGCCACCGATTCCTAAAGTAGCAGTTTGATTATCGTCATATAACCTAGTTTCACTGTTATGTAAGTTTTAAATAAATTAGACTTCTAGTTATTTGGACGGTTGGATGATTTTGCTATTAATTTAGATTTTGTCTTTTCGTGCATTAGTATGTGTTCTACATTACCTGATATGCTGTCTGATGTGTGTGACCAATACGGGTTTGTAACGTGGTGGGTATGGAGAACATTAACATAACGGTTATGTCTGAATGACAACATGCTGCCACGTCAACGTGTCGGTGAAGCCTGAGATGTTGCATATTCCTGTTTGAAAGAGCTTAAAACACCA